CTGCCTTGCCAGTGCTCCCGCGAACAGTAGGCGTCGTTGTCGGATCGTGGCCTCAACGCTCTGGCATTCGACCCTCTTCAGCGTCTGGGCGTACGAGAGCTGCCGGTAGGTGTCTTTCTTGCGCTTGTACCCGATAACTCGAAGGAGCAGTCGGTGGTGTGTCGACCGCAGCGTCTGATAGTGGCCGCTGAGTGGTGACCATGTCATGCAGCCGTACAGCAGTGCCTCCATCGCCTCCGCCTGGAGGAGGCGGATCTTGAGTCGGAATGGCGCTTTCGGTCTGTCGAAGAGCTCCTGGCCATATCGCCTGAGGCACGCCCACGCTCCTCTGCTCCTGTAGCTGATCTCCCGGGTGAGGTCGCCATGTTCGTTGACGAGGCCACCGAGGTACCGGAACTCGGTCGTCTGGGCGTATTTCTGTCCCGCGGCTTCGATGGTCAGTGGTGGAGGCGGGGGGGGCTGTATTGTTATAGTCGACTTGTCCTTCGCGCGCATCAGGAGCGTCTCCGTCTTCTTCTCCGACACCGTTACCCCGATATCTCCGAACACCTCAACGATGATGGTCATCATTCTCGCCAGTCCTTCTGCAGACCTCGATACGACGCCGGCATCATCGGCATACAGCATCCCCCATACTGCCCTCCGTACTCGGTCAAGGGGTGTCTCCTCCCCCCCCCCGCTTCCGTCTTCCCCTCCTCCAAGCACACCAGATTCCGCAGAACAACATCATCCTCGCTGAATCGGATAACGACGACCTCGAGGACCTCGGCGAAGAAGATGTTGAACAGCAGTGGGGATAGCACACATCCTTGTCGCACGCCCTGTGTGACGAAGTACCAGTCCGATAGTTCTCCGTCGTCCATGCGCACCCGGGCCCGCATTCCATCGTGGAATTGGCGGATGACTTTCATTAGATTCGCGGGAATCCCGGCCCTGGCCAGCACCTTTCATAGCATCTCTCGGTCCACCGAATCATATGCCTTCTTCAAGTCGACGAAGCACATGTAGAGCGGTATTTTCTTTCTCCGCCCCAGCTCCTGGAGGCGACGCACGACAAACAGCATGTCGACGGTGGATCGCCCGGGTCGAAATCCGCACTGTTCCTCCGGGAGGATGTTGTTGGCTTCGCAGTAGGCGCTTAGACGGTTGGTGATGATCTTGATGGGAACCTTGCCTACGTGAGATAGTAGCGAAATCCCCCTGTAGTTGCTACAGTTGGACCGGTCACCCTTCTTGTACAGCACCTTGATGGTTGCGTCCTTCCACTCTTGGGGGATATCTCCTCCGTTCCACACCTTGACGAGGATGGTATGGAGGTGTCTCAGGACAACGGGTTCGTCGTCATCTATCTTGAGCAACTCGGCAGCGAGGGAGTCATGGCCGGGTGCCTTCAAGTTCTTGAGGCCTTTCGCTGCCCGTGCCACCTCCTCGAGTTCTGGCATCTCTCCCAACCGTTGAGTGTCACGTGTCGCTGGCCGCTGCGTCACTCGTTCGATGATGTCTGGGTTCAGGGTGGGGGATTTGGTGTCAAGTAGGGTGCTGAAGAATCTCACCCACCGTTGGAGGATGTCGTCACTGTTCCGGAGCGACACGCCGTTCTCATCCGCGACGAACTGCTGTCCCCCCGCGTGTCTCCCGCTGAGGTCCACTGATCTCTTGAGGTATTGGTACAGTCCTCGCATGTCGCGATCTTTGTAGATTGCTTCGAGTTCAGTCACATATTCGTCCGGGTGGGCATAGATGCCTATTTTGACTGCTGTAGCCACTCCCTTACACGCTGCTTTGAGAGTTCTCCACGTTGCTGAGTTCCAGTTGCCCCTCATCGCCCGGCGCGCTTCCCGCCGTTTGGTAAGGGCCTTCTCCAGTGCTGCTCTCGTCTCTGGGGTCTCACACCACTCCTGCGTGCGGCGTCTCCGCGGTTCCTCCCCTAGGGTCGTCCGCGCTGCTTCGAGGAGAGCATTGGTAAAGTCGGTCGCCAATTCCGCGGCGGTGGTTGTTCGCTCGTCCAGTTGTGTCTCGAGGTTGAGGAGGAACCGATTAGTCACCGCACCCCGTGCTGCTTCGAACTGCAATTCCCGTCGGTTGAATTGCTGCTGTTTCGGTTTAGTCCGGACTGCACGGTCGTGGGCAAGCCTGCCACCGAGGTTGACGTGGCTACTACCATGTTGTGGTCTGAGTCTGCTTTGACTGGGCGAACCGGCTGGGGGATGACAACCACGTTAGATACTCGGCCGTGATGTGCCTGCCTTGTCAGGATGTAGGCAAAGCGCTTGCAATCGTTTCCCGACACACCGTTGTATGTGTGCCAAATTCCGCCCTTGCGTGTCTCGAAGAACGTGTTCGTGAGAGCCAGCCTGTTTTCCGTTGCGAAATTCAACAGTAGCATGCCATTGTCGTTGAGCTCATCACGCCCGTACATTCCTATTACCCTTCCGTCCCCTTCGTCCAACCTATCTCCCGTCCGCGCGTTGGCATCCAATAGGACATATACGCATCCTTTGGAAGGGATCCTCCGCACGAGACTGTCAAGTTTTCCCCAGAACACGCGCTTGCTGTCGGTGGTTGAAGGTTCGGTTGGAGCATACGCGGCTACGAAGTTGACCGCTCCACGGTGGCCTGCCAACAGAATCCTCATGGCCATTAGGCGTTCGTCGATAAACTCGGTAGTGAACGTGGATGTCTTGCACAGTGACTCTTTGACGGCTATCCCCACACCATGGACTCCACCAGTCTCCGTGCCACAGCAGAACACCCGGAAACCCGCTGCTGCAAATTCCGTTCGACCTGCCCTCCGTGTCTCCTGCATTCCTACCACCGACACGTCTTGTCTCGCTGCCTCGTGTAGAATGCTGTAGGCTCGCCCGTATCCATTGGCCCCGTTTACAGCCAAAGTCCGCACATTCCAGGTTGCTACCCTAAGAAGTTGACCCTGCTGTCTCTTTCGCGCGGCGCGCGCTGCTCTCTTAGCTAGCCTACGCGCCGCCCGACCCCTCCTTCTCCTCCATCTCCCCCTCTTTTTTTGTTTTTTTGCTTTTTTTTTGCGAACACTCGGGCTAAGACGATAGTTACCCCGGTTCTTGCCTTGTTTCCCATAGAGTTGTCTTCTTGTCCCGGAGCGGTGTGGCCCTCCATCTCTGGACTCTCTCCTTTCCTCTCTCTGGGGGTCAATGCGGCGTCCTGAGACGGCTGGCGAGCTGATGCAAGTCCTCACTCAACTCAAACAAATATATCACAGAGCAATGCCGTGTTGTTGCTTCAACTGAGCCCGAACCTTTTTCGGCAGACCCAGCCGCCGCAGCTCGGATTTGACGAACTGCGGCGCGGCATCCCACACCTTGGACAACTCTTCCCAGGTGTTCTCTTCCTTGTCGAATCCGACCCACTCTACTTCAACGTCGAACCCAGGGCCATCTTCCGCCACCGACATGTCCACGATCGCCGCCATCTCGAGCCTCGTAACAGTTTTCAGCGTTGCCTCTGGGTTGTTGTTTTTTTCATCATTTTCCTTGCGTGTGGCAGCTTTGCCCATTTCGCGTTGTTTGCGGTGTGTTGGTCATCCATCCATTGCGTAAGTTTCACTGTACGCGTGTCTACCGGACTTAGCCAATCTTTTGTGGTCGTCCGACACGTGCGTGTTTGTCGTTTGAAGCGTCGAGGTCCCTCACTGTTGAACTGGGGCATTCTCTGTTTTGCATGGGAGGTTGAACACTTGCGCTGACTGACGAATTGGTGTGGCATGATTTAGTCAGGCATGATATCGCCGTGTACGGGTGTTTATCATTCACAAACACCGCTGTCGTTTTCTTCTTGAGTACAGGCTGATTAGTGTCTACTCCGGTGGTAAAAAGCTTTGGGGGCATTGTGGACGCAGCGCACCAGTAGTTCACGGTGGGAAGCTGCCGTTGGGTATGTATGCATGTCAAAGATATGGTAGATTGGGGTTTCTATCTGCCTGGTTGGCATGTTGGCAGGAGAGAGATAGATGGAGAGAGAGAGACGAGACTCGTGTGCAATAATAATACACCGTGTTTACCATCACCAAGGAGGTGAATTGACCAGCCCCCCGAGGCCACGGGGGGAGGATACTGGTCCTAGGCCCTGCCTGACTTCAGGCGTGTCTACAGACCATTTGGTAGTTAGAGGTGCCTTCTCGGTTGTTGAGGCGGCTGTTGAGCGACAGGTGCTCGGGGCTTATTAACATCAGTGTTCACGTTCAGCAGCAGCTGAGGCAGTTGACAAATTGTGAGTTGTCGTTGCATGTGTTGGTGTGTTTTAAAGGGATTACCTGAGGAGCAGACAGCAAGCCATGTGGTTCGTAGTGGCCTGTGCATGCTAGATGTTGGGAAGGTACTTGCGGATAGGTATTTGTTCCGAGTGCTGTGTGCGTCTAGTTGTTCTTCGGCACACGTCAATGGTGCGATTTTCGCGCACGTGGGGGTGTTTCTACTTATCTAACGGTGTTGTCTTTTCTAATCGTGCATGCTGCCTGGATGTTGCGGGAGGGGAAGATAGGATACATGCGCCACCCCGCGCGCAATTCTGGGAGCGATTGCTTCCACTCTCCTCTCTATTCCAGGTGTTGAGGCGCGAACCCCGCGCGGTGAATAACCGTGCATGGATGGATGGGTTGGTAGGCTGTGGCTCTCTTTTTGGTCATGAGCCACTAGCACGTAGTACCCTGCACTCCTTTCCGTGGTCGTTCGTTTTCATCCCAACCCTCCTGATGTAGCTGTGTGGCGCGTCGAAACCCGTGTCGCTCACTCAGCACACAGAACATTTTCTGGTTTTTATTTGTATCTTGAGTTAGCAATGCCAGCATCACCTAGGCCGTGTGCCCAACATTTGATCTATATTCGCGAATATTGTTTCCCTACCGTGTGCAGCCAGCCCCTTTTGGTTTCAGCAGACCTACGTTTTTGGCACTTGATTGGTCATGTTTTCGTTTCGCGACTAATCTGCAACTTCCCGCAACTGTGTGCCCCCCGTCGGATGTGTCGCAGGGATTGTCGTTCAAGTCTCCTTTGTTTTTCTCCTACTCTGATGGGACAGTTTCTCAAGAGGCGGTTGTGAACGGCATCGATGGTTTGGAAGGAACTACGACCAACTTCGCGTTCAGTATCGGGTGATCGGCTTGTTGAAACCAGTTCTTCGAGTCTTTTTCATTTGCATTGCTGTTGTGAGAGCTCGCGAGCGCGATTACATGTGCTTGAGTAAGGTTGACGCTTCGTTCTGAACAGCCCATGAAATTGGTGAACGATTTAACGCGAAGTCCTGGAAGATAAGACGAAGGCAGTAAACCGCCCGCGCGTCTCTCTATCATGTTATTATCGGCCGTGCAACCTGTTGTTGAGACGTGGTCGTATTGAGACCAGAAACGATAGGATAGAGAGCCTGTGCTCGCATCTGTGGGGCGAACAATGTGTATACGAGAGCAAGAGTGAGAGGTGTAGAAAACGCCTGAAGTTAGTCAGGGCCTGGGACCAGTCACTCGCTCCGTGGCCTACGGGGCGACGGCCTAAGATTGTAACTTGAGTGCTGTGGTTTGCGTTATGGCACCGTGTCAGCTGACCGAGTTGCAGCCTAAGAGTGCCATTCTAAGAGTTCCATTCCGAACAGGGTTGATTACTGCTGCGGGCAATAAAGCTAAATAATTCTTGACTGCGATTTTTTGACCTAGGTCAATTTCTTTCAGCTCGCGAAAGCTACGCGCACGAGATCGCGGCGGTGCCTTCGCGCGACCTAGGCCTGGACTTGTTTCGAACTGGTTCAATCGAAGCGACACCGCTACCAAACGAAAAGCCTTGTCTCTTGCTTCTGCCCACATTAGCATCCTTCTGACGTCTTTTTCGAGTCCCTGCTTTTGCTGCTTCTTCGCCGCGACTGAATTCTCTGACCTCAACAAAGCAAGCAAAAGAACCTAACCCAACTCGATTGAAAGTGAATAAACATTACTGTTTCCATTTTTATTTTTTCTTCTCTTTTTTCTCTCTTTCCCCCTTTTTTTTTTTCTGTGCCAGATGGCCTTGTCTCTGCTTGCGTTGTGAAGTACCAAGATTGAACCAAGGGGGTGTACCTCTTTCTCTCCGGCCCATGATAGTGACTCCTTGTCTCAGCTGATACCTCTCACATAGCGCGCAGAGGGAGTGGAGGATCCCAGAGTATCTGTCGTTGATTTCTATTGACTTGCGGACCCCTCGGGGCCAGTTTATTTGAGTGTACCTTTTTAGGGTCAGTTAACCTGTGACCACGGGGATCGACCGCGTCGAGTGTTGGATCAGTACGGACATGCGAAGGTACTGAGTAGAGAGAGATCGGAACGGTTTTTATTGTGAAAACAACAACAACAAACATGAGAGAGACGAGATGTTGACAGATGGTAGATAGATGCGAGAGAACGAGCTGGCTCTGCAAGACCTCCTGCGCTCCTACCACGATCATGAGGTTTGCGGGTTTGCCTCAGCACACACTAGTCATCACCAACGCACCATGCGTTTCACCTCGCATCGCAGGCAAAGCATCCAAAAAGTAAAAGCAACCACCTCACAGGCGACACGCGTCTGAGGTCAAATCCCTTGCATAATTTTCCCACGTGCTCCACGACCAAGCAAGACACAGCCCCAGCTAGGCGCAGCTCGATACGCTGGGACAAAACAAGGATGCCCCGCAAGTCTCGACAAAGCTGGTGGCAACAGAGCGAGCACGCCTACAAGTAGCGATTCGGTCGAATCCGGCTGCTATTCTGCCGCCCGCGGCAGACGAAGACATTTTTTTTTCCGCATGGACATCCCCAGCCTGCTGACCGACCTGTACCAACTTCGAGAGTCAACGATGACCCACCAGACACTACTGTGTGCCAAGTTTGAACGCCATTGGAGCCACACGCCGCGTTCGACAGCACCTTTCGCTACCCAGGGGCCGACCTGAGCTGGCCGACCTCGCCTGCTAGCAACAATCAGACAGCAATTTCTCACACATACTCATCCCCTCGACACAAACCTTACGTCGATACGGGTCTAGAACTACACTGTGCGCCATGCGCATGCCTTTGGTGAATCTCCTACATCGGATCACGACTCACAAGCAAGGTTTGTCCTAGGGGAAGACGCAAACTGCAATTCTTATGACTCATGGAGATGTATGCATCCCGTCACGCGCCCCCTCCAGCCGCTGCCCATTGCTGCCCAAGGGGGCCAGTGAGAAACGCAGGGCTTGATGCATTGCCAACTCCCCCTCTTTTTCAGGCGCTTGAGCCGGTTTGGTCAAGGCGTACTATTTATTCTACGTTATAGGATAGAGTCTGGGTATAGTCTGTATATTACATATTGTATAGGTTGTGGTATCACACTATAATACTATAAAACCCACATGATGATAGTTTTATTTTTCAGGGCGATCCATTGGCGTGCTTTTTCATTTTGCAAAAAACGAGCTGTTTAGATTAGAGGGACCGCAAGTACATGTACGCGCTATGGATTCATTGCTGATCTATCGCAGCCTCTTTTCTACTATACATAGAGATGGATTCGTCGTGTCATGTTACGGAACATAAATAATTGACAAGGGGGCGTGAAAAAATTGACCATCAAAGAACGTCCGTGTGTCTGTGACAGGCTCGACAATAATAACCCACCAGAACTGAAGTATAAATTTCATTACCACGATGCTTACCCCTGTACCTTGAAAACTCGCACCATACGTCACGCTTCCATGTTACACCGCATCGATCGGACGAATCTGTCGTATCCCGATACGATCCGAAGCGCTGCTGCTGTGCTGCTGTGCTACTTTTGAAACACCCTCGCTAGCAACTGCTAGTGGCACTGGAGGTGTGTGTGTAGGTGCGCGACAGCTGTGCCATGGTTATTGTGGAGTATGCTTGCTCTCCTACATGGTAACCATCTCACCCCAAGCCTGCGCATTGCATGCACGTAGGTTTGTATGCAATTTTGCCAGTGAGTGTCTACTTCGGTGTGGCGGTAACCTCAAACAACACGCACTCCGATTTCTCGGAGATTTCGGAGAGAATCACTTTACGCAAACTGCTGTTCGACGCAATTTTCGGCGCGCAAAGTTACTCGAACAAGAATCAACGACTACAAACCGCAAATCTACACTAAATACGAGACAAAAAAACGTTGCACTCCACGCGGCGAAGATAACGGCCGATAGTTTCTTCACACCCGCTCAAAGACGACGGAAGGAACAGAATGGCACGCCAGGAAAAACCCGACGAAACATGAGAAGGACACCACAAGCCATTTTCTCACCACCAGCATCGCTGCCGATGCCTCACAGCTCCTCGCCCTCGTCGCCGCTCACGTCCACCACTACCACGCCCGTGTCGTCATCATCGTCGATGTCCAACACCTCCAGCAAGTTCTCGCCTCCGGACGAGTCAGCCTTGTCCGCAGCGTCCGATGGCGCGCCGATGGGCTCCCCCTTGGCGTTGGTGCCGAGCTCTTTGTTAGCCCAGGCCTCGTCTTCCGACCCGTCGACGGGCAGCAGAAGGCCAGCCTTCCTCCAGCTCGAGCGGATTTCATCCGCGGTCAAGGCATCCCACGCCTTCTTGACCCACTGTGCGACCAAACCCCGCGAAGGGGGCTCCGGGTAGCCCTGATCGTTGCGCGTGACGTCCTTGGCATATTTGCCTTGAAGATCTTGTTGAACAGGCCATCGCACGGCTGGAGCTTCGGAGTCAGGCCTCCCGGGATGTGGAACAGCGTCGTGTTGGACTCCTCTATCGCCTTGGTAGACGCGTCCGTCTCGTGGACGGTGTAGTCGTCCCACGACAGAAGCGTGTCAGTCTGACGGTATCCGCCCAGGCGGCCCTGCCGCCCCGGGCGCCGGTTCCACACCTGCGGCACCCACACGTCGTCGAACACCCGCTGGGAGTTCCATCCCTTGGGATCCACGGCGTAGGCCATACCTCGCGGAAACGCGTAGCCCTTCCTGTCCTTGTAGCTCTTGAACTCGCGCTCGATGGTGTTGGCGGCGGGGGACTTTCCCTTCGGAGTGGGCTGGCCCTTGAAGATGAGGAGGGGCGGCAGCTTCCTGCCGTCGGGGAACACGGTCAGGACGGAAGTGATGCGCATCTTCTCCTTGCCGCCTGTTTTGACGGCAATCTCCTTCTCGCCCGTGGCCTGCGGGATTGCGTAGAACAGCGAAAACCGACATCAACGTGGGGTGGGTGGAAATGACTTTTGTTGTCAAGATTCGGAAAGTGGCAGCAATGGTTGCAACAAAACATGTCCAAAATCGGAGAAAAGGAAAAGAAAGAAAAGACGTCAACTATCTCCATGTAGATAGTTCCTAAAAAAAAAAGAGGGTGGCCCAAAAGAAACGCTCACAGAGGAAACGACAGGATTGCTACAGTTAACGGAATACGAGCAAAAACTAGGGCAAAACTATTGCTAACGTTCACAGTGTCCTTCCCCGGGCTCTCAAACCACGTAGGGGTTTCGTTCATGTTGCCGATCTGCGCCAAGGCGAACTTGAGACGCGGCGCCGGAGGAACACCAGCGCCACCCCCACCCCCGCTGCCGCTCGCGCTGCCTCCCGCCCCTGCCGGCACCCCCAGGCACTCGACTCCGTCCGGAAGTTCGAGCGCGGGAGGCACGTCGTACTTCAGCTTCCTTCACTCCTTGATCGCCTGCATGGCGACCAAAGGCAAGTCAGAAGGAAATTTCTGGCCTTGCCGGGTGACAGCTCGCACAGAGAAGCGGTAGACCCTGAGAAACCTTCTGCACCACTGGTTCTGCCTGTTCTTGTACTCGAGGGAGCCCTGGAGATCGGATGGCGCCGGCCTCTCCCCGAAGAAGTTCGGATTGAGTTTGACGGCCTTATTCTTGATCATCTTTGTCAAAACACGGGAGGAGATGCCTTCAGAACGCAGCACGTTGATCCAGTCCACGACCTCACGCTCGGCCGCCGTGTGCGTCCTGATCCGTCCGACGTTCAGCGACAAGCGGTTGTTGCATTTGATCTTGCGCTTCGCTCCTCCCTTGTACGTGTCCGCTTCCGCCAGCGCGGCTTCGTACTTGGCGACGTTCTTGACCCACGCCGCCAACGACGCCATGTCGGGAATGTTCAGGATCCTTGGCTCGTAGGTTATTCCAATAGTCCCGTTCGGCCCTTGCGCCCCTATGATCTTCCTCTGTGAGAACCTCACCGCATCCACCTGAAACTTCAGAGGGTAGCACTTCCTTTGGCTTCCACCACCAAGCTCGGGGATCGGGAAGTTCGGTGGCTCCAACTCCAGCTGCCCTTTCTTCCTTTTGCCCTTGTTCTGTGCCGGCGTACCAAAGAGAACGCCGCCGAACCCATCTCCCCACTCTGTCTTTCCGGGCAACATCATGTCGCCGGATGCAGCATCGTTGGCCACCGGCGCTGCTCCCGCTGCCGGCGTTGCTGCTGCCGGTGCTGGAGCTGGCGCCGGTGCTGGAGCTGGCGCCGATGCTGAAGCTGGCGCCGGTGCTGAAGCTGGCGCCGGTGCTGGAGCTGGCGCCGGTGCTGGAGCTGGCGCCGGTGCTGGAGCTGGCGCCGGTGCTGGAGCTGGCGCCGGTGCTGCTCCTGATGGAGGCGCTCCGGGTGTGCCGCACACCCTACAGAAGACAAACGGAGACAAATATGTGCGGGAAGGCACAAAGCGGTCAATGTTGGAACGCATGGAAACGTGTGTTGTGTGGGCGGAAACCAAAGCTGTTTGTTTCTTCACAAAGAGTATGCTGATTCATTTTTGGTCGACAAGGGCACCGTGTCCAATTTTCCAAAAACGTTTGGCGGTTGAAAGTACACTTTAGGGAGAACAAAAAATGTGCAAAGCAGCAGAATTGAAAATTAATCAGGGTGATATGGAGATGCCAGCTGCAAACAAAGCTGCGGCATTTCCACGACACACAATGGCATGCAGGAACAAGAATCAAACACAAAAAACAACTTCAAATGTGTACAATTCCGACGAATGGCCATAAAAATACTACAAACGAAACAATTACGAAATGTGCACGCAACGACAGAATCATTGTCCGGGAGCGTGTGGCAAAAAAAGCCACATGCACACGAAATAACTCTCATAATGTGTATGGGAACATATGGCGCAAAAAAAAAAAAAAAATTTCACGAACCCTGGAGTGTGCGGGTGGTGCAAAAGCCAACCCACAATTGCACGTTTCGAGACCACACGCGGACTGATACTTCGCCAAATCCACGAAGCACATATATACTCACTTGGATCGCTCTTCCGTGCCGACGGAAGTGCTGGGCTCTTAGTCCACCATGTCCACAACCAGCTGAGATGCTTTATTGGTGGGCGTTGACTCGTCTGCTGCGGTGCTCGTACGTGCTGCTGAGAGCAAGAGAGCAACTGGCTGCTGCTGAGGCGATGTGGAGGCTGTCATGTTGGCGCCTGTTGCTGCTCCAGCTCCTGCTGCTGTTAGATCAGCAGGAGCAGGAGTAGGAGCCTCTTGCGTAGAGGTGTGCGCGGGCCCAAAGAAGGAGGTGATCTGCTGTGGCGCCTGCGCTGCTTCAGTCGAAGCAGTTGTCGAAGGAGCGGAGGTAATTGCGGCTGCATTCTGCTCTGCCTACACGTTCATGTTGTTGGGGGTCTCCGTGCGGGGTGTTTCCACGCACACAGCTGACGCGGTTGTGTGTGTGATTGCTCAGGACAGATGCTGTCACCCCAGTGATAAAGAAGGAGGGGCCCCGTGGCTATATGCGGCGTAACTAAAAATATCATGGGGTGTGTTATCTTTTATGTACCCCCGGTGATAAATCGATGGTTTGTCAGAAGCGCCCAAAACTATCACCGGGGTGTCGTATTCTGTGGGGGTGTGCTTTCTTATGTAGGTGTGTTATCTTGTGTCATATACGGTAAGTTTATGCCACTATGTAGTTCAAGCGACACACAAACCACAGGACACACGCACGCACACACGGCACAGGCAGGAGGGAGTATCGGCGCACAGCCCGGCTCTTGTTGTTTTATAGGGCGAAAAGTTGATGATAGGTGTTGTTTCCTAGGGGCGAAAACTGATTCCTGCCCTGTCGCCATGGTAGTTATTGGGCGGCAAGATTGGCCGTTTGGTATCCCATGGTTGGAGGGCAAAAGGATTTGGGAAGATTCCTGCGGAGGAAGTGGTTGATGAAAGAATTTTATTCTCCGTCAGTTCAGGGTACTTTGCCGAAAAACAGGATACAATTTTTGAGAAAAATAGCCACGGCAGGGTCTAAATCAATCTCTGCCACTCACGTGACAGTCCCGTGAATGACCTACAAGATAAACGAAAATGTATGATTCCTACACTAAACTCAAGTAAAGCCCCTTGCCAACATCTACCGCATAAAGAATCTGAATTTTCGGCCATCTGGTGGCGTTTCGGGCCACTTTTAGTGGTGAAGAATGATTTTGAGGTTGGGTTTTTAGGTTGAGTTTTCCCCATAACCCAACCTGAAAACCCAACCTCAAACTAATAATACTGCCTTTCCCTGACACCAAATCCTCGCAGCAGCCATCCAACTCATCAGCAAATCACTTGCAACTGCCACCGCCCACACTCGACCCCTCGACCACCCCACCTACTCCCTGGAAAGCAGTCACGGGGCACCTGTTACCTAAAAACCCAACCTCAAAGTTTAAAGCTGACTAAATCAATCTTCACGCCACCCATCTAACACATCATATCCCACCACCTCTTTCCATACCAACACCCAGACACACAAACGTTGTGACACCCACATTGCACTCATACACGTGAATTTAACCCATCCATGTCTCACCAGGTAAAACATGGGCAGGAAAAGGGGGAGGCAGCGTGGCAAAAACAAGAAGCAGATGATGAGCAAGAAGGGGGGGAGGCAGCTCTGCAAAAACATAAAGAACGTCCCGGCGACCCCGAAGCTTTGCGACAACAGCCGCGTGTACTTCACGACTAAGGGGGCGCAGTACATGGCGCTGGACGTCGGTGGCGTCGGTCTGTGTGCTCTTCTCGGCGTCATCGCTGTGGCGATGGACGACGTAGGAACCCCTTGTGAGGAGATTTTCGAAGCCGTCAGCGGCGAGCTCACAGACGTCATGACGGAGTACGTCCAGTCCCTCCGAGCCAACATCGTCAGCACGTGCGGCGACCAGTTCGCCTTCAAGGACGGTGAAGAGCTGGCTAGCTTCGACGACATCGTCCACGACCCGATGTGGGTGATTGCGACGAGGGCGATGTGGGAGCTGGTGACACTTCATCCAACTGGATATCTCGACGGAAGGGCGGTGTGGCTGTTGGCGAAGTTCCTCGGGTTGCACGGATTTAGGATAGTCAAGCACGAAGACGGCCACTTGGTCTCATGTGATGCCGGGGGTCCCATCTCCTCCGAAGAGTGCCCCATGATGCTGCACGACGGCTACGGGCACTTCAAGGCCCTGATTCCACTTCGAAGAATGCCACTGGTAAGTCTCGTCTGTTTTTAATTGTATGTGTGCGCGTACATGATATGATCCGTGATATTTTTTATTTGAATTTAAAAACATATTTGAAGTTCACACTGCTCACGTTTGGCCAACGCATGGTTTGTTTTGCCACCCCCCTTCAGGAGTTCCAGATAAATCAAGAGTACCATTTGCTTCTCGAAGAGAGTTTCGTGGACGTCACCGATGAGGAGGAGGCCGTTCCGGGGACGTCGGATTTGGAGACTTCGGACGGCACCGACGAGGTCCCTGAATCAGCTGTCGCGGTAGATGTAGCCGGCACGGAGGCGTCTGATGGTGGATCGATGCCGAGCGCCCAATCGTCTGGTTCCGGTGGGGGCGACAGTGACCTGGGGGCACGTGGAGCGTTTGGCGAAGATGCTGAGGTGCGCCTTGTTCGTTAATTCTCCTTGTGTAAAATTCTCCATAAAAAATAGTCGTCTAGTGGTCCGAACCACCGCATCGTTGTTGACAGACAGCAGCCATAGCACTGAACATACAAATCCATGGTCTCATTTCGTTGATTGAAAAATAGGGAGAAGAGGTAAAAGCGGCTACCCGTGTGTCCAGCAAGAGGAGCCAACCATGGGACGACAACGAGTATTGGGATGACGACGCCAACTACTACTCGGGTTGCACCATAGTTGGCGAAGACGGGTGGACTCTCGTCGGCAAGGAAGGTCGGCGAATGGGGTTGGAGACAACCTTGGCCTTCGACGAAGTGAGTCCCTGATACCCCAACCTGAAATACCAACCTGAAAACCAAACCTGAAAACCCAACCTGAAAACCCAACCTGAAAACCCAACCTGAAAACCCAACCTGAAATACCAACCTGAAATACCAACCTGAAAACCCAACCTGAAAACCAACCTGAAACACCAACCTGAAATACCAACCTGAAAACCCAACCTGAAAACCCAACCTGAAATACCAACCTGAAAACCCAATGCTTTTCGTGAACACAGGCCTCGGGTTTGTACGACCTCACCAGTCCGAACAAATGCCAGCCTTTGTTCCTAGACCACGATGACGAAACCGATGAGAACGAAGCAGCGGAGGTGGACGAGGCTGTGGACGAGGTGGGCGAAGATGAAGCCGCAGAGGAGGTTGACGAGGACGAGGAGGCTGAGGCCGAGGCTGGAGAGGAGGTGCAGCAGACTATCGTCGTACACGAAGGAATCACGATTTCCCCCTGGATGCTGGCTTTCTTTCTGCCGCTTCTGCTCGCCGTTGGGGCCGCTCTTTTCCTGGTGTTTCAGGCAGCCGTGACCTCTACCACCGTACTCCTTCGCATCGGCGAGGCATTCGCGTCGGTCAGCAACAACGGCAGCAACTCTGCCAACAACAACAAGTGCAGCTCTCGTCGGCGGCGTGCAGCTCGTCGTCGCAAGACTGGTCGCACGGGGATCGCGGGGATCGGCAGAATTCTGAAATGCAGATTTGCAGGAGGGAGACGCTTCCGTCCTGCAAGGAGTCGTCGCAACGGAAGAGGTTTCTGGGCACGTGGTCAGAGGAGGAGTGAAGGCGAGCTTCTTGTGATGGACGATGATTCTGCACGCATCTTCGGAATGGTGCTGGCGTTTCTGCGGGGAGGAGCGAAGTCGGGTGACCAACAACAGGTGTGTGCGTGTACCAGTTGATTTGTATTTTCATCACGCGACAAAACGGCAAGTCAAACAAGACACTTAATTTCTCCGAATGCTTGCTTGGTCGTTCCATCCCCGTCGTCCCATCCTTTCTCGCAGACACAAGGGAGGCCAAAAAGGGACAGGCGTCCAGCAGGGGGGGTATTTGCCCCCGGTTGGGCACCCGATCCTGCCCCAAACGCGCGCAACGACAGCGCGAGAGAGTCCGAGGAGGATGGTGAAGATAGTGAAGACTCCGGGGATGCAGATGATGTCGCGTCTCTGGATGGAGTCAGCGATGGCAAAGAGTCTGAAGAAGATGAAGAGGACTCCGATGAAGACTCCGGTAAAGGACCTCGTGGTGCTGGTGGGGGAGCGGGTGGTGTGGCGTCAGCGGGTGATAAAAACTCCGATTTAGAGGACTCCGGGTATGCTCCCAGCGAGGCCGGCGACACCGATGGAGACAACGACGAAGATACCACCAGCGACGAGTGTTCCTCCACCGGCGGGGAAACTCGCTGCGAGGGGTGCGAAGAAGACTTCTATTGTGAACTGGTGGAGTGCCCCACGTGCAATGCGAAGTATTGTCAGGACTGCGAGAACGACTTGTCTTCTGACAAAGAGGTGAGCTGAACTCGTGGTAGTAATGAGCAGGTGAGGGCCGAAACCAAACTATATGCGCACAAAAGCTTCAAAAGAAAACCCCGACCAAGCTTGTTTTTTCCTGTTTTGTTCTTCCTTGTTTTTTCACCGAACCACAGCGAACGTATTCTAGGTGTCAGCGAGCGGACGATGATGGTGTTGGTGATTTTTCGACTGGGGGGGTCACCGATGGACCGGATGAGTACACCGACACAGAAAGTGGTAGCGTCTCTGGAAACTCCAAGCGACGTCGTCGATCTGCGGGGAAGAAAGATAATTGCATTCCAAGAACTTCTAGCCCGAGAGAGTTGTTGATGGTGCCTAAAGACGACCAGCAGGCGAAACTTATGTTAAGTCTATACCGCAAAGCCCGCGAGATGGAACGGAAACTTGCAGGAAAAACAAGAGAATCAAGGAGGTAAGGAACCTCACCCTCCTCGACCTCACGGAAGCAGCAAGCTGCTTGGCCAAGGGTAGTCCCGTAAGAGAAGAGATCTGGCGGAAGTGCGAAAAGGAGAACTACGCCCTGTACGGTATCACCGTGCGTCGAGCCGGGCCAACCGGTGAGACCATTCCGGGGACCAAGGTTACATCAGACAAGGGTAGGCGGGGAGAGGTCGTGGAGGCAAAGATGGATGAAGGATACACCGTGTTCACCGTCGAGTGGTCGGAAGGCAAGAGCAACAGACGCAGCGCATATTCTACGGAGGACGTGCTTCGTACTCGCGATGATAACCAGGGCGTGGCGACACTTGAGGAGGCGAAGGAGAAAATGGGGGTGTTTCTACTTGCAACCTTGTGTGTTGTCAACGTCCAGGTTTACCGATTCATTACCAAGAACACCAAGTTGGAGACTGTGTCAGTGTCAAGTGAGACACGCCCCCTGTCCCGGGATATAAAAGTTGATATTATAAAAGGCCGGAATCACGCCTGGGAGGAGACGAAGAAAGCTCGTGCGGTGGACATGCTCATGGACAATGAAGTCACGTTCTTGGACTCCTCTGAGGACAAAGGCTTGCGGGTGGAGATGGAAGAATCATCGTGCTTCGAAATGATGGGATTGATCAACGACGCCAGAGCTCACTTCACGGGTCTCGTGAGAAGCACGGAAGGTTTCCAAGACAAGCATCTAGCTTTCGTCAACCACTTTGTGAGGGGGGCGCAGGCGTCCTTTCGGCTGGGTCGACCCACCAACATGGCGTCGTCCATGATCCATCTTTCGGTGAACGAGCTTCCTCCCGGAGTCCAGGCCAAAACATTGAAGGAACAAGACACTCAGTTGTATCAACCCGGTGAGCCGACGTCTTTTGGCCTGGGGATGAGGTGTGTCTTGGCGAGGGCACGGGTGAAGGATTCAGAATAGTTTGGTGACGGGGGATCTTCGACCTACCAGTTTCTGATGAGGTATCCGTTGTACAGGCTTCTGGATCTTTCCCGGGCTGATAACCTTCCTCTGTGTCCGACAACGGAGCATTCGAATCATGTTTCACCAGCACTTCGCCACAGAGATGCGTACAGTCAAGCGTTTTCTTCGCACAGTAAGCGGAAAGCGGATTTGGACGTGTTTGACATAATCAAGGGGGGATATCATTCTGTGTCGCAAGAGAAGCGGTCCGAAAAAAGTGTGATAGAGAATGAAAACGAGAGGATCGCATTTGGTGCGAAGTTCAATAAAGGCAGGACGCACTTGGTGGGAAGCGATGAATGTCTGCTAGGGTTTCTTTTACTTGAAGAACTCGTGTCTCGCAATGGGATAGACTCGTTCATGGAGAAGTTACCCAACAAGGATGATATTGTCAAGATGTGCAATGAAGTACTTGAGATGAACCCACGCAAGCGCGAGAACGAGGATCATCTTTGTCCACCGAAGTTCAAACTGAGGATTGAAGCGATCGTCGATGAACTGGTAGAAGGAAACAAGGTTACCAGATCGGATATTTCGTTGCTTAGTTGCTCTTTAACGGTGTTGGATTCTCTGCTTACCGCTGCCCTTGGAAAGCAAGACATTTTGGGACAGCTTGCAAAAGATTTGTACCGAATGAAGTGCAAGGACGTTCATGGCAACGACATTGCTATTACCCGATGTCTTCTTCCCCGTTACTTCAAAAACAAGAAGGCACTCGAGAATTCCACGGTAGTTGTGAACCATACAAAACATGAGAAGTGTGAGGGGGCGTATGCGGTTATGGCAGTCATTGGGAGGAAGGTGATGCGAAGGCTTCTTGAGAAGGAGGCGGAAAAGGACTTGGCAGAGCTCAGAAAGAAAGGGGGGTGTACCGAGAAAGACTTCGAGAGGGTGGCCGAGTCGTATTCTCTTACACCCCATTTGGGTCCCTTTGACGACAAAGGTTGTGTCTTCACACCCAGTCAAGTGACGGGTATGTACAAATGGTTGGGGCAGCGCACAATGGGCCTTTCGCATTTTGGCACTCACATCATCCGCAGTAATCACGCGACGGCGGTGGCGATGTACTGTGTGAGGACAGGGCTGTCGCACGATGACCAGGCGGTGAAGGATTTGTTTGCTTTGGCGAGACACGGTGATAAGCAGAGGATTCGGTTTTATACGAAAGTCAAAGGTGATACGCCAAATTCGTGTGATTTCCTGACTAATTTAAGTGGTGCCCTTCCCTCACTTCGTCGCCTCGGGGAGGGGGGGTGAGTCAAGACTTCTGAGAAAAAGGTGGCGTCACTGAGTGATGTTGAAGTAGGTCTTTCGGGTCTCTTTGCCTTCGAGGATGCTGAGTTCGACAAATCCGGGGCGTTGGCACGTGGGAAACCGATGATGGGTGACGGGGCATATAGAAAGTTGGATGTGGTCGAGATGGATGATGAAGAGAAGGACTTGGTAAGGCAGGAGCGAAAGGCTACCAGGAAAGCTAATATTGCGATTGAAGAAAAACGGGAGAAAGAGGCCAAGACGGCCCTGTATGAAAATAAGGTGGACACCGGTGCGAAGTCGGGTGGTCGGAAGAAGGGGGGAGTTCGCGCTGACAAGCTTGAGTATCGCAAGAGTGCGTTTGCCAAAATAAATCAGTTGGTTTTGAACGCAAGTAAGCTGAAAAGGTTGGAAAAGGGCAAGAAGCCCAAGCGGATGACGTTGGAGTACAGTTTGAAGAATGATCAAAAGACCGTTAGAGTTGCGTTCCACGACAACGTCAAGCGATTTTTACACTCGGCGAATCCTGGGGAGAAGGACTTTTTGGATGGATTTTATTTGAATTTGATCGACGGGAAAAGTAGGCCCGGGCGTAAAGCAGTTGCTTACGCGAGGGAACATCGGATTGAGTGGAGTTACCACGATTGGTCTACTGGGAATGTTTGTGTTAGCGTACCACAGGAGAAAAAGGGTGGTAAGAAGAGGAAGTTGGTTGGAGGGGGGGGTGTACTCATAGTCGTGCATGCCGTAGTCGTTTGACCATTGACCTCGCATCCCTACAAAGCCGGGACGGAGCACGCCGGGTTCTCACCGGACCAGGCTCTCACATCACCAAGCGCGAAGCGCCGTGAGGTATTTGGCGAGTCGCATGAAGGGTGAGCTGCATCCTGCTAAGGGTGTTCGGCATCTTGTGCTTACTTCCTTGCGTACGGATGACAGCTACGTATGACTTAATTTATTTTCTGGTGCATCCACTTCCAGAGACAGTTGTAAGCACTGTGTAACTGCCTCGAGGAAGCTTGACCATTTTAACACAACGTGGTGCGATCATCCCCCGTTGCGCGGAGTAAGGGTTCTCGACCCCGCACAACATAATCTACTCGACCACCATTATGGTTACCGCCAAAAAAAAAACCGAGGTAAAAAAAAAAAAACGGTAACCTGGTTGCCGAGTTCACGAAGTGAGTTGGCTTGTTTTACAACGTCGTTGCCAAGCGACGAAAACCCAATCCCGATGGCAAACACCGAGTGGGGGGCTTGTTTTACAACGTCGTTGCCAAGCGACGAAAACCCAAACCCCGATGGCAAACACCGGGGGGGGCGGCTTGTTTTACAACGTCGTTGCCAAGCGACGAAAACCCAAACCCCGATGGCAAACAAGGCCGACGGGGGGGGGGGGGAAGGGGAGGGTTAGTGATGGCCAGGAACGTTCTTTTACGTACCTTTCAGGTTTGAAATTTAACCTGGGTTCCGGGGTCATTGTGACACAGCACAAAAAAAAAAAATGCCAAACATTTTCAATTTCAGCTTTAATTCAAGTTTGAAACCAGTTCCGGGTGATACAGCAGTACTGCACGCACACGAATCCTTTTCTAAATGGCGTTCTCGGCCCGCACGCAAAGTTCAGGTATAGGTGTATCGCCTGGCAAATATTGTGCACCTCGTTAGTGTTCCTTTGCCAGAAAGTGAAGAGCTCGGCGTCGGAGATTTTTTTTTTTGTTTCTTGGTAGATCTCAACTTTACCCCACGTTCAATGCACCGCAAGACGTCTCTACCCCTTTCGTGGGCTACCTCTGCGCTGCCACCTCGGCCGCTACATATCAGTTCTCGCAGTTAGAACCCAAATCAATTGGTTCGCCCGCCTTAGTCTGCGTCTCCGGTTCAAACCGAGCAGCATGCCAAATGGATTTAGATTTCATGCAGTGTAAGCATCAATTCCCCGACGAAAGCTTTGCGGCGCCGTCGATCTTCTTAGATGGAGTATTTGGTCCGGCCGACAGCCCTTGTCAGGAAACAGACTTGAGTGCAGATTACAGCTAAACTCATTCCTTCTGAGTGCAGGATATATCATCCCTTCCGAGCAAAGCAAAAGGCCCCCAGAAAGCCACCGACCCGACTCTACCAAAGCCTCCTGCTATTCATCGAAAACAGTCATGAAACAAGTAAAATGCGCTGAATTCGCACAACTTCAGTTTTCGCCACTTCTTGTGCTCGTTAAATTCACGTCGCCCCTAGATTGCAATCTCCCGTTGGAGCACGCCTGAAGCGCTATTAGCGCCCATTCATGGACCCGATTCTCGCTCCGGTATTGCTACCGGCTTCATTTGCGCTTCAGATCATGTTGCTGCGCCTAGTCGGCCGATGACGCGCGAGAACCAAGACCAAAGATCTACACTGACCACGTAAATTATTTATGGAACATATGAGCACACTTTCTAGTGGTGACTGCGTGCGTGCGGGAGAGCACAAGCAGTGGCCCCTCGATCGATCACGTCATGCCACTACTCCAACACTCAGATGACCTCATCTTGTACCACCGGTCTGAAGGCTATACGCACCGTCCCATACGAACAGTCTCCGGAAAAAATAGGATACTCTTCTGCAACAGCTTCAACGCAAGCATGCTCACGTTACTTCCTTCCGGAAATTCCAGAGCAACAGGCAATACAACCAATACTAGCAGAACCCCCCAAATACTTGCATGAACGAAACAAGTTGGCGTCAATTTCCGTGTCATTGACGAAACAAATTCATGGACGCGTGACGCTGTCGACTCACGAACTCACGAACTGGTCTATGTTATGTGTCCTGACCCATGCCCACTCTACACCACGCCCACCCCTGTCCACCAGCTGCATGGCCGTGTCGAAGCTAGGGAAGGGAGACTTCCCCTTGACCGTTCCATCCACCTCGAAGCTTCTACACATATCCTTCAGCTGGTCGTAAGCATACCCCTGCAAAGGGGCAGGGCGCACCTGGAACAAGAGGCAAGGAATGCAGTGAGTCGTTTAGGGTGTGTCACAGGAAACAACGTATGCGAGCGTTAGGCCATTGAAGCGTGTCATTTCGTCCATTTGAAAGGCACTGCCGCCCACGCCGTTGGGCAAGTCAACGATAGGCGACGCGACGCCGCTCACCTTGCCGATTTCCAACCCTTGACGAGAACGTCGTGAAAACGAGAGAAAGTATAGAATTATGCAATCATGTACACGTCCACCCCCTCACCAAGAGCTCGTGTTCCGACAATCTCCAGTATCAGAGGACTTCACTGCAACGGATCGAAAGCGCCACTCATTGACTGGCCCTTACCTGTTGTGGCCGTGGCCCTCCCGCCGGCCTGGCGCCTTCAAGTCCCTCCCCAGAGACGCTCGCCATCTTCTCGATTCCGGAGCAAAACGCTTCCTCGACGAAGTCGATTGAGCGCGATCGAAGCAAGCGCCAACCCCACCTTAGCCGAGGGTATCGTTTTCTTCGCCCAGCTCAGCAGTTCCTTCACCTGATCGATGATGTGGAGATGGTAGATTCAGCATCTGTTGTGATTCGCAAGGGAGCCCACCCTTTTCCGGAGACATGGGTTCTAATAAATCAGAAGACGAGCACAATCAAGATGACATCTTGCCCTACATAGGAGCGAAAAAAATAAAACGCCCCACCTAAATGACACCGTGCCCTGGAAGCCACAAAAGGCAAACGCCAACCAACCCAGCCAGTAATCGAAACGCCGCAAAGCAGCACAGAGGTGAAAACATGGGGCCCTTCCCAGGAACAAGTGCCCAGTGCTCCACGGCGGCTACCCACCTCGTACCCTTGCCCGCCTCTCCCGCACTCGGCAAGGCTCATGTCCTGCGGGCACAGGAAGAACACGCGCAGCTCTCGCGTGGCACATCTTCTGCCCCCCTTTTTGCCGCTGCGGACCCAGCCGTCCAGAAGGGCTGACCACTTCTCGAATGACCTGTCGATCTCCGTGAGGGGCTCCCGACCCTTCTCGGGGGCGGGGAGGACGCATACCAGGCGGGGGATGGGCCACCTGTGCTTCCAGCGGAAGTGTGTTGCGACGGAATACAGTGTTGTTTGTGCCGAAAAATCGTTGAGTCCTTTGGGAAATCGTTGGCGATTTGCGAAATGTGACTGGAGCGCAGGCCGGGTGGTAGTTTGCAGCCAGAGGTGACGACTGTTAGCGAGCGCTGAATATCGCAAAATCTGTGGTACATTTAAGGGAATTTAAGGGATCGAACACCAACCGCTACTACCCAACCTTGATTCACAGAATCGCCCTCTATTCTGCGGAAATACCCCAGATTCTAGATGGAAATCACACAAAACGGGATTAAATTGTATCATGTCGAATATAGAAGAGAGAGAACTTCATGGTACATAGCTTGGAGTTCACTTGTGCGGTTGGCACTGGCACCGGCCAAGAAGGAACAATACGCCGCCTTGCATGCAAAGCTTGCTTAGTGTCGGCTAAAAGCTTCAAAGTGCAGCAACGTATGCTCGCCACAGCTCTCTTCTCGTTTGTCTTCTACATAAATGTCTCCTAATTTTTGGAGAACTCGAGGTGGTGGCTCAAAACATTTGACTTTGCAATCTCTTCCTGCAGTCCCTTCCATCCCGCAAACGTACTGCGCCTGAGTTTTCAAGTCCTAGCCGCCCATGAGGATGGAGTGTACCGTTTCCATCGCAAGGGTGTAAGAAGGGTCAATCCCACGCCTGAAGTTATGTGCCCGAGCGATCACGCCGATGTGCAGAAAAAATAAGACGATGATGTGGCTGAGAATGAACAAACAATGAAAAGAAGCATACCGCAGGAAGGCCACGTCCTGTGCCACGCCTCTCAGAATCCTCCTCTCCGTCGCCCTAGAATCGTCTTGGCTCAAATCGACGTCGATAGCGCCTTCTGGACAATGGCTTCCACGCTGACCACAATCTTCTCCACGTTCGAGTCCAGCTTAAGGCTGACGTCGCGTTGCATGTCTGACTTAAGGGTGCTGAGCTGCTTGGCCAAGGCTTCATCAGTGCCCAAGTTTTGAGCTCCGACAGCGGCCAGGATTTGATTGAGCACGATCTCGAGGTTCTGATCAAGCTGTACGGCCCCAAGCGAGCAGTGGGCAAGGTCAGCACCGCAAACACTCAGGACACAAACCTAAACATGCGCTCTATGCTGCGCAGAACTCGGGGAACAAAAAACGCACTAAACGGAATATCCCCCGTCACATCTGGTAGGTGCACGGAAAAAACAAGAAAGCGTCAGATAGATATCCCAATTGCATTCACCACGGGAATGGACACACAAGAACGGGAGAGAGGGGGGTGGAAAAATGGGCATTCCATCGGCGGATAACCACATACGCCTGACCGTACAAAAAACTTCAACCTTCGAGCGCGTCTGAGCTTCGTCACCTTTTCCAGCAAGTCCCTCTCCAACGCCGCTAAGCTGTCTTGCCATGCATCGGGCCCGGTCATGTACGTCGGGTTCATCGACGCGTCGAACAGCAGGCCCGGGTATTTCTCTTCCAGGAGCTGCACCACTTTCTCTTTTATCTCGAACCCAACGGCGGACACGTCGCTCTTCCCAGTGCCACCGATATTGATCTCGATGAAACACCGGGGCTCGGTAGAAGCTCTGGCTCTTCCTGGGCTTACAAGGTTCTCGCCCCGACTAATGAGGCACTCCCGCCCGGCCGCCTCAAACGACACCCCTCGAGACCAGGAGGTGTGGAACACTAAATTTCGGAAGATTTCAACCCTGCTGCGACCGAAGGCGCCCAGGAACTGCGCGATGATCGCCGGTGGCACGTAATCTGCGCGGATTTCGATCACGAACTGCATGCGGATGCCACGGGATACCGCTTCCTGTAGTTTCGCCAGGGACGCCTCCGCGACGCTGCCCGGAAGCCGAGCGGGCACCATGAACTACCCGGCGCCCCCTCCGACCGCACAGTCATCGCACGGGAACATGGCATTGTGCAAAGCCATCATCTCTACCAGGCGGCCGAAGACCAACTCGTCTACGTCCTTCACAACATTCCTCCACAGAAAACGAAGGTACTCGGTCGTGAGCAACCCCGTTGGGGAGAAGCGACTGCGTGAGAAAGGGCCCGACACCGGGATGACAAGTCAGTTTACGCAGAATTCACACGGAATCCAGAGAGTGATGGATAGGCGCCCCGTGATATGAATGGATGGGCAAGAAAAATTCCCACAACAGTAACCCCCGCATCGTGCATTTTGTACCATTCACCACGTCTCGTATTACAACAAGGTCGAAAGATGATAAACCGGACGTGGGACACAGTGCTGCTACTACTACAGCAAGGAGAGACGGAAACCGATAGAATCGCTGCTTTGGTAGAAAAAACAATTTTGTGACGAGTCAGAGGGAGCTTCATTTTTTAAAAATTGCGCCCCACTTTACGAGCTCACAAAATAATTGGGTTCAACTTTTCGCCAGTTTGGAACGTATACCCTAACGGCCATATTGGTTATTAACCGAAGCTGCCAGCCAAGGTAGGTAGGTCCCAAGATGAAAGTAAGTCCAAAAAGATGCATCCATCAGTCAATCCCCACCTGTGGATTTCCACGAGTCTGTTGAACCTGAAACCACGCTCAAGACTGTATGCGTCAAGCTGCTCCCGCCACCACTGTGCCTGACGATACCAATCAGAGGGAAACAGCAGCAAAAAATATGTCGATGGAGTCACGTCCTCTCACAGAAGGTTGCTGCCGCATGCCCCCAAATCCCGCCTGCCTGCGTTACTTAATGTTTGGGCGCGTTGCAGATCAGGAACAGGGTTCACGGGAAGGAACCCAGCTACATCGTGGTCAGCTTCATCGGAGGCATTTTCAAAAACGGGGATTTTTTTTGTACCCTCCCCGCTTTCTGCGTTTCGATTCTTAGCCACTGGAATTACTAGTATTCGTTGAAACCCGGGCAAGATGAACGAACTTTTTCTCAAATTTTGCACATCCTAACTTTATCACAGGACCATGCAAAAAGCATTTCGAGGGTTGAGATGTAGATGGGAAGAATTTACGGAACCCCCCCGCCAAATGTTGAGCTTTAGCGCGGAACCCGCCCTCGGTGAATCCGTGACAAAACCCATCCCGAAATGATTTTGGTAATAGCATGTCTACACCACCTCGGCGAAATAGACAAACAACATTCCACTATTCGAAACAACAAAAACACTCACGGAACGAATTTTGAAGCCGATACATCGAGGAGAGACGCACCCGAGTCCTTTCAAAAAAGGACAGGAGTACATCGGTCACTGAATGTGCTCAAGGACGCCCGCGGAAATGAGCAGGTTGATAACAGACGCCGACGTGCTTGTGCGTGCGTCGCTGATATTTTCGGTTTGACTCGGAGGAACTTTACATTGGACACAAGCAAACAAACACATCGCTGCTGCTCCTTCAATTCAAATGTGCCTGCACCTCCAACTCGCCGCTACGTGTGCGTGTCCTCCTGTCGGTGGTCTGGCTGTTGGTGGTCTGGCGGTGGTGAATAAAGCTGTGTGCCGCTAGCGACAGATCTGCGTGTAGAATACTCTGACTGTTCGCGTCGCGCGGATTCGGCTTAAAAAAAAGTGCAAGAGAGGCATTTCTGTGTGTAAACGGTCACACAGACGTTACGATCTACCTCATAGAATTCCGACGTAGAACACTATATATAGCAGTGCTCTCCTCGGGCACATCAGAGGTGTGCAATTAGACTATGCATTGTTGGAGCGTACTCACAGGAGAGCAGGTTTTCGCCGACACGCAGAGAACGCAGAGAACGCCCCAGAGGATTGAACGAAGACGATGAACACCGCAATGTAGGAACACACCTGTTGATAGAAAGCGATGAGCGAGTGGGACAAAGAGAGGGCTACAAGGCACCCGCTCGGGCGGTGGGCGGTGGGTGCGGTGTGCCTGAATCCCACCCCAGTACCAGTACGGATCAGTATCAATCGTTTCCTTCGCTTCTAGACGTGGATCTCTCACAGCACCTGTCGCCTTTCCGACATTTGCAGCAGGTCCCACATAACCGTGCAGGTGAGTGAGCCCCCTTCTTGGTGTGAGTATGTTGACACGGGCTGATGGTCTATAAGGGAAGGACGTCGTTGAAAAGTGGAGAGATGAAACACCGCGCATCTTAGTTAATTTTGTTGCGAGACTATGTTCAGTTCCCTCTTTGGGTAGCCTTCGTGTTGGGTGCTTGGGGTTTCATTGGAAACATCGATGCCTTGGGACGCGGAGTATCCCATTTCGCGGGTGAGATTTGGTCATTAGCAGCACCGGTGTACACATGTATGTCACGGGGTTACGCGTAGACAATCTCTTGAAGCCTGAAGACCCTTGTTGAAGACCCACTTGGTTTATTAATGCGGGCAGCAGCTTGTTGTAGCTCTCGCAGCGTGGATGGCATGGACCGAAGTATGGACCCGCAACAAAAAAATCAGCCGGCAGTACGAGTGGTGCTCACGTGCTCACACCTCATACCACAACTCGAATGGCTCTTCATTTGAAAGTTCAGCCGTTTAGGGCTTTTCCGGAAAAAAAATTGTCGTTAGGTACTACAGCAAGCCGTCGACGTAGCATACAGGAAGAAGGTGCGGGTGTTTGGGGCGCGGGGCTAGGCAGGTGTTTTGGGATTGCCTGCCCCGTCAACGCCAATCTACAGCAGATATCGC